TTTACTTACTTTACTTACTTAACGTAACCTACTAAAACTTAACTTAGTTAATTAAACTAATACTATTATTTATTTATTTATTCTTCTCTCTCTCTCTCTCTCTCTCTCTCTCTCTCTCTCTCTCGGTGAACCGTCATGAACATCGAGTATATCGCTATAGAACTATAATTCATCACTTAAACATCGAAATACTATTTTACTGTCCTCGCGAGACGATCACCGATATCGAAAGTCGACGATCTTTATCACTTTGTTTCATATCCTCGTCGATCGCGGCAGAGAAAAAAAAAAAAGCGACGACGATACATACGCGGCCTAGATAGCGATGTAAATTTCTATACATAGCATAACGTGTATACAACAAACGTATAGCGTCTCTCTGACGAAGGCACTTGAAAGAAAATGAAAGAAAATGGCACCGTCGATTTCACGTGCGCTTCGTCACGCGCGCTACCTCCTTTTCTTCATTGGCACTACGATCGCGCTTCGCTACTCGCGATCGTCATCCTCATCTTCCTCGCTATCCCTCGCTATCCGTCTGCTGCGGTTCATCTAGCTTCTGAATTGGTGATTCTGATTCGTACGGCCCGCCATCGCGTCGAAAGTGTCCCTCTTTCGCGGACACTTGCCTTGCCGCGTCATGTACTCGCCGAACTCGCAAGTTGGCATCGCACACTCATTCTTCTGAATGCATCTGTGAGCCAAAAAGTTAGATATGACAGTAAATCCGGTTGGTCGAAATGTTTCTTCATTCATTACTATTATTTATTTATTTATTTATTTTTTTTAATAATTCTCATTATCGCGATTATCAAAGCGCTTTCTCACACGTAAAATTAGCTTCTCTGTTCTCTCAGGAGGAATCGAGCTGCACCGGAAAATTTTTGGTATAACGAAGTCACTGGCGCAAGCGATTTTTATTCGTTACACGTGCATAAATGTGTATAAATGTTTGACAAGGTGCGGTTGAAGCTAAATTGAAGCTCCCGCAAAGCGCGGTTATGGCGAAATTTTACGGTACGGCATACAAAATGAGGAGTTCGCATTATTTTGTCTTGTAAATGCAGCGGTAATTAGTATGTTGGTGCCGCGTTGGTGTTTTACCGTCCGCATTTTTAAGCTCGTGCACGCGTGCATACTGGAATACTTTAGCGGCAAAGTATGTCGCGAAATTGCAGTCGTACGCGTAGACATACTCACATTCTGTCCGCGAGGGAGAAATATCCCTTTCCGCGTTTGGTCTTCAAACAATTTTCATTGCTCTCGTAGCAATTACACTGACAAATGCCTCCCAACGTGATCCTCGGCGTGAATTCCGACGGGCAACGACATCTGAAGCTAATTTTTTTTTTAATTAATAACACTTACAAATTACAAGCTATATAACAAAACTCTTCCGAGGTATTTCACTATCTATATATCTGTAACGCTGAGCTCTTACATTACGTTAGAATGTAATACGAATGTAATGTAGTTAGTATTGTTTTTTTTTTTTTTTTTTTCCTCTTATTGATAACTGTTGCGAACTGGTGAAGCCTTTTGCTTACGGTTTCCTCGATGGCGGTTTCTTCATATTTTGAGGAGGCGACGAGGGCTGATGTCGATAGACTCGTTGATCCGCGGGTCTCTCGTTCGTCGTACTCGGTTCGTTGTACTCGGCCCTCTCCTTGCATTCACATTCCGTGTGATTGTAGAACGATAGCTTCTCCACCACGCTGCTGCCGTCCACGTTGTTCATCTGCAATAAAATCAGGATATAAACATTACCGAGACGTTAAAAACGCGCGCGCGATTCGCATAATCAATGTGGCAAACGATACGTTACGCTTCGCGAGAGAGTCGAGAAGCGCGATTGCGAATATCGGTAGATACTCAGATTTCCCTATATATCGTTATTTATTCGCTAAACATTTATCCGCGCCGCAGTGCGGAAAACAGTTATACGGTAGTATTTGCGATGCAGCCACGAGTAAATATCGTTATATACGTAAGTAACTTTGCAAGTAGTTACACGATGCATAGAGAGTTAATCCAACTTTAGCCTTTAGCCGTTATAGCTATACAGCTATATACAGCTATATACAGATGAAACAGTCATTCTTTTCTTCGAATCGAATTCTCTAAGTCATTTGAGGTTTTTTTCTCTTCGGAAGGAATCGATGATACACGAAAACTGTTTTGTAGAAAATTCGGATACAGATCTGAAAATAATTTTATCGGGTCATCAAAATAATTATGTAGGACGCTTAGATCTAATAATAACGTAAACATTTTTAATTTAGCAATCACTAAGCGTCCTGATTATTTTGATCGCCCGATAAAATTATTTTCAGATCTGTGGAAAATTTTTAGATCGGCAAAATTGCTCTTTCCTGTTCTTTCCATGCGCTTTCATGATATTTGCGTTTGTCAATTAATCGGATCGATTTTTACGATTATAACAAGTTACGATTATATACATGTGAATCTTTGACATAACGGACGAGCTTTCTCGTCACGTCATAGCGACGTAGCACCGGGTTAACGAGAGCAACAAGACCAGAGGCGCTGCATAACATTACGCGCAGCGCTTAAAAAAATTAGACAATCGGCTTCATACACGTCCGACCCGGTTTCTAATTGGGTTCAATTAACCCGGCTCACTTTTGTGAGCCATCCGCCGTACAACAAACTGGACGTTTCACCGACTGACACGCTGCTGCCGGCGCAGAAGCTGTCCGTATCGCCGGGCCGTATTTAGCCCGCCTTTAATCGACTCTAATTGCTCTGAGTCATTGCTCGCACGTACCGATTTCCGCTCCGTATCTGACGCGATCCGATCGGTCGTCGTTCCGATAATTGACGTGAAATTGACGTTCGATTTAAAATGGCGCGCGACCACTCGGTGCGACATCCGGCGAGGCAGCCCCGAGGCGCACGACGGTCTTGTTAATGATTAATTTCCGAATCCCATCTAGGAATTTCTCGTCCATCTATAAATCCGTCTAAATATATTATTCGCGCTTTCTAGGACACTTTATAAATACATGGTTCTTTAAAAATACATGATTCCATTCCCATTGCTCGCACCTGACGGACGTCTATTATCGTCTTTTTTACTATTTAGATTTCCTATGAAAAGGGATTAGAAGAGGCCGGCTATCGATTTTCTTCCTGCTTCGTTAAAATGAAGTGAAGCGAACTCGACCGAACTCGCCGCGCAGGGAATAAGAATCCTGCTGGTTAATTGAAAGTTAGAAAATCACCTACTAGAGAGAAACTCTAAAGCGCTACGACATTCGTCGCATCGCAATTGAGCATGTCGTGCTCGTAAATTACATCACTCCCGGTGATTGGCAACAACCGATGTACGCATTGTACGCGATAGAAAGCTTGCGATCCGTCCAAGAAAAAAAATTAATCGTCGTTACAGTACACTTTAAAATCGATCGCGACACGCTGCGAAACGCAGAGACAACACAAGCGTGCATTACGCTCAACTTTTACATTGGTGTAAAAGTGCACCCGTGTTATATACGACGTGCGAAACACAGTATTTCTGCGGAAAATCGCAAAAATGTAAAGCACCACCGAATTGTTTCGCTGGAAGAACGTAAAAATTTTTTGAATTTTTGCGATCTCCGTAAAAATATTTCTCGACGATCGCAAATCTTGAATATGTGAAATTTAAAACTGACATTAAGCAACATTCTTTATATCGAATGTATTAATAGCGGCCAGCGCAAAAATGTTCTCGTTAAATGGGTCGTGGTACTCGATCACCAAGATCGATGACAATGAGCTGGCCTAACGACACGGTACGATTGTGTGTCCGGTCGACGGTGTCGGGCAATCAATTGCGGTTGAGATTTTATTTATTCGATTCCGTAGTCGCGCGATAATCACGACGTTGCGTGCCATTTAATTAATGCTCTTTCGCCACGTGGAGCACAAGGGTACGATTGCGACACCTCATTTCTCGCGATGTCATTAAGGAGGCAGGATTGCGACAGTCGTTTCTTGCGGTGTCCTTAAAACAGATAGATAAACCGAAGACGATCTAATTTTTTGCTTGCCAGTCATTATTTTTATCAGAGATTTTTATCAAAATTTAAAGAAATTTTATCATAAACAAAGTTGAGCAAATTAATTCGAATTTAAGAAGATTCTTACGAAACAGTTCAAGTATGTGAAACAGAGATACAATTCCTCGTACACAACAAATTGCATCGAAGAATCGCGTAAGATTTCTTTTTGTCTTGATAAAGTGCAAGGATCTCACTGACCCTTTGTAATACGAGCTGCATCCACGGGGCATTCTCCATCTTTTTCCGTGACGAGTCAAGTCGGTATATATACGAGCATTAAGATTCGTCTCTGATGGATGACTTGGCCGAGAGATCGTGGTCATAAATTTCATGTCCTAGTGCCGTACATGAGACGTCCTGCGGAGAACGTACTCTTTGCTTGATATTCTTACTATTTACCGTTTCGAGTTGCACGGCAAATATTTGAAATTATTTTGTGAAGTTATTTTAAGAGTAATACGAAGCTTTATGATGATTAAATTTTTTAAATTTATTTCTATTTCTTTAAAGTTTTTCAATTTTAACTTTTTATATACACTTCGTATTTTATAATTGCGATATAAGAAAATTATTAATATTTATATTCTATGATTTATTCCTCAATTAAATTAAACATTCCTCGTGAGTTTGCAGTACCTCTTTGCGTGTATGCATATCAATATTTAGACGAGAATGCGCTACCTAAGGGATGCGGGGATCTAATCGGTAGAAAGCATGGGTAGCAACATGGCACCAGGTTCGGTCTCGTGTTTCAGAATTTTTGTCGAGAAACGACGGCGTGGAACAGAGTAGATATATTTATGGGGTGCAGCTAATGCGCTTATACAACTCCACGCCCATGAGTATAAAGTCAGTTTAAGGAGCTGTCGCCAGTGGCGATTGTACGAGTTTCGCAGCGTGAACAGTATTCGATCATTCCTCGCTTACATTCGTTAAATTCTAAGAGTGGGAGTGGGACACGGAGTAATTTGTGGCGGAGGAAGGAATCGCGACAAGATCGATGAAAATTACATGATATGTTGACAACGTGATATTTATTATCAATCAGGGGATAAGATGAGGAACAGAAAAGGTCGCTGCGAGATATATATTTTACTTTGTACTTTTTAAATATTATAATTTTTCGCGCGCAGTTATGGCTATCGCGCGGCATAATTGTAACATCGGGCGTAGGAAGCGGAACGTTTCCGAGAGGCGGACGATTTCCATAATGCTATAGAGATTGGCGATTTGCAAGAGGGTTTCTTCGAAGTCTCGCCGTGGGTCTTCCCGTGGATCACGGCGAATTCCGGAATTTAATTTCCACAAGGATTATCCCTCCCGCGAGATCGGAGCAGCTGACCGGCTCGCCTCATTAACATTCGCCGTATCTCGCTCCGGGCGTTCGTTCGTGAATGAAACACAGGAACCCGGCACGAAATCACGTGCACGCCGGTCTCGAGAGATCGGTGAACCGTGTCGAAGGCACGTCTCTTTCAGACGAATATTCCGTTTCCCTCTCCGTTTTTGACATTTATCGAGCCGGCATTGCGCTACGTTACGTAGAGCTTGCGCCGCGGTAATCGAAGCCGAACTTTTCGTTGACTTCTCTCGTTTAAAGAGAACAATTCTATAGGAAATAAAAGGGACTGTTAAAAGTCAATTAAATATTAAATAGAGGGTATGAATAGCTATTGTACTGAAGTCATGCATATTAAATGTTGCAGTTGGTAAACGAAAGATCCTGAGTTTCAACTCGGTCGGCTCTATTAATTTTTCCGTTTTCTCTACAGTCCGCTTAAAATCTTTTTTTCTTGATTGTAGACAGTCAGTGTGTGACAGTCGATAGATAGTGACTGTATAAGTTAATAGTAAATTTTAAAGGTTACATACAAATTATCTGATCTTTTGTTTTAATGTAAAAATAAAATTTTAATAATTAACTGTTTTTTTAAACAAATTAATAAATGTGAAGTCGTAGAATCAACAAATTTAAATTTGAATAATACAGTTTATCTTTGCAATAGATAATTGTATTTACATAATACAATCTACTCTTTCAAATTTTTGTGTCTTGAGAAAAGTGGAATTAGATGACTTCTAGATTAACGAAAATATGAGTTATGTCTTTCGCGGCAATTCAATTTTATTTTCCTGGTTTCTTAGAAACGAAGTTATAAGAAAGAGTCTGGCTTTTTTAAAATCTCCTAATTGCATTTCTCTATGGTTGTAAAAGTTTTAAAATAATACTAGAAGAAGTTACTTTATGTAATTACTTTTTCCATAGAAAAAGATGAATTTTATTCTTTCACTAATAAAAGTTAGCTTTAGTAGGTCATTTTATTATAATTTATTCTTTGAAATTGATTGACTGCCGAATACAAAGAATAGAGAATGTAGTCGGTATAAAATTTATGTTGTAAAATATTAGATTTGGAATGATAACAATCAGTTGGCGCGTGGCCTCGGCGCGTGTTTGCTTTTCGCAGCATACGCCATGCATTGTGTGTATACAATGTTGCTGTTATTATTCGTGTAACAACGCCCGAACGAATAGATAGTGTTGCAAATCTCTCCGTGACGCTCTTAGCGTTGTATTTCGAAATTCGATCACTGCGAATAATCAATCCAACTCATGCGATCACTTTCACGCTTAACAATAAAAATATCAAAGTTTTTTGAACCATCGATATTTTGTGTCATTTAATACGAAATGTCAAAACAGCAGAACTCGCAAATTATCGCGTCCCATCGCAATATTACGACTAACAGTAATGTCTAATAACAGGATTTAGCTACATCAGACTCGGAATTTTCGCTGATTTTAATATTGCTTCCAAACCGAAAATATGCGGTAAAATATGCAAATCGGTAAATTTAAATTATTTAAATAATAGAAAATTTTGGAATACATATTGAACGTTTATTACGTACATATATTTTGCGGAATTATTCGTTCGGAATGTATTACTAATGCTGTACTGAATTATGCATTCCCAAACGGTCGATT